AGAAAACATAATTATTGAGGCACAGATGCTTTTTTTGCATGGCTAGAGTGATTAAGGAGTTAATTTGTGTTCTTTCATTAAGGCATGGAACAACACAAAAAGAAAAGGCCATGGTTTGGTTTCAGACATCAGGTGTATAAAATGGAATTTTAAAGCTATATTTACAAAACATTAAAAGTACATTTGGTATACTCTATGTTTTCATAATTCTGTTGAATTTAAGAACTCACACTTTTTATACTTGGGTGCCATGTTCTTTACTTTTCACAACCAGTTACATCTCCACCCAGATTGGGGAAGAGAAGTATGCCCCCCTCCACCCCCACTCAGTGCCCTTTGTGTATTTTTCATCTGAAGAATACCCTGGCAGGGTTTCACCTGCCTTGGCAGGGGCCCAGGTGTGGGTCTCTCTGTGTGTAGCATGGACTCCTGAGCAGATGGCTAGGTAGCAGTTGTGGTCAGTTGCACTCGTGGAAGTTTCCACAGACACAGCCCCTGATGGTTTTTATCCCTGAGTCTTTGAAGTCAGATTGTCTCTTTACACATCCTCATTGTCCAAAAGCCCTTAGAATCTGGCTTGTCTGGTTTTGCTTATTTGATTCAAAGAGATTCTGTAAAATATAAAGGTGTTTTATTTGGTTTTTTAACACTGCCCCACCATGCCATAGGACAACATGTTTTCAATGGGGAAGCGTGACGTTTTTGTAATTATTTCTTGATAAGATATTTTCTTTCATCTGGGCTTCACTCTGCTATTTCCTAGCAACTTTTATCCTAGCTTAGTACTTGCCAAACCAAAAACTAGAGGCTAAGAGGCAATGGAAGAAACAGCTGGGGTTGTGTTGCAATGTAAATGTGTAAATTAATGTGAAAGGTAGAATAGAAAACTCACAAACTGTGCAAAGTTCACTGTAAATATTGTGAGGATTGAATTTTGAAAAGATCATATTTAATAAGCTTTTTCAAAGCACATGTTTAAATGAAGTTTGACTAAATAAAAAGGTACCACATACTCCTTGATCAGTTTCATTCCTATGGAACTCGGACAATCCTGAGTTGTGATATCACCAGTCTGTGTTTTTGCTGCTTCTTCACAAAGGGAGGCCCAGATTAGAGGCACCAGATCATAGCAAACCTGTGCTTCCTCTCCTGCACTCTGGTGACCACAAGGCCTTGTCAGTTAGTATCTGGTTCAATGCTGATGACGCCAGATTCTGAATATACACATCACCACAATAGGGGTCATTCTCATTAGATATTTGAGGAAACAGGCTCTCAGAAAAGAGCCCTGTTGGCACAATGGGTTAACACTGGGTGGCTAACTGCCAAGTCAGCGGTTCAAACCCACCAGCCACTCAAACGGAGAAAGATGAGGTTGTCTGGCCCCTTAACGATTTGCAGTGTCAGAAACCCTAAGGAAAATTTTGCTCTGCCTTATGGAGTTCTGGTATAGTGCTGTGGGCTAATGTACCAGACTGCAAAGCCATTTGAACTACAAGGTCAGTGGCTCAAGCTCACCAGCTGCTCCTTAGAAGGGTTGCTACGGGTCAGAATCGATTTGACGGCACTTAACAACAAAAACAACAAATAGGGTCACTATGAGTCTGACTTGACTGGATGTCAGTGCATTGGGTTTGGTTTGGTTTGAGGTTCCCGGAGGTTTAACTCTCCAAATCTAGCATGGGCTCAGTCTAGGATACAAGCCCCAGTGGCCTGAGGTCAACTCCTGCTCTTCCCTCAAAGCAGGGACTGTTTGGAGCCCCGCCCCCTGCTGTCTGGAGGCTCCCTTGGTGTTCAGGTCCTAGAGTGAAACCAGCAGGGACTGAGATCATTATGTTCTTGGGAAAGCCTCCTTGCCAAAGCCAGGCACCTACCCAATTAATAGGATTGCCCTTTGCGAATAGGCCTCCTAATGCAAGAACTTGTCACTCCCAGCCCCCTTGGGTACCTGTGCTGGGGCAATCTACGAAGGTGGTTTTTCTACATTTTTGATGAGCTACTGCTTCTCTGAGCCATGGTACATTTTGGAAATCAGACAAGACCTGACAATGACTGAAATAATGTGAAGGAAAAGGAAATTCACAGACCAGAATTTTTTTTTTTTTTT